GCTCTTTGAACAGGGGTCTTCTACTCCAAAATGTATTTTCGTTAGTATGTTAGTATACTCCACACTTAGTTGCCTAGGTCTAAACATGAGGCTTCTACTCCATGAGGTATTACCCACTACCAACCAAAATACCCCATTAAGCAAATAATATTGGGAATTTTAGAGTTGTACGTATCTTTTGTTTTACCTACTAACAACATTCCGCTTTTATTTTTCGATAACCCGAGAACTAAAAGTTGAAGGTAAGATAAAAAAATTTTAATGGTCTATATAAAAGATAGCATATTTGTAATTATCAGTTTGTCACAAATGTTAATGGTAGTTATCTGTCGTTTTCATTTTCTCCATGTTCCATCGTCTTTACAATATGCCTATATTTTATCCAATGTGTAACGACCCAAAAATAAATGGTAAAATTTTCATTTTTAATATAGCTAAAACATTGATACCATTTAATTCCAACATTTGAAATCATATTCAAGCAAATCATTTATCAGAGTTTATCCTAAAATCATTCCTTCCGGAAATTGCAGTTGTATAAACTGTGATCAATCTGAGCCCTTCCTTTCCAAAACGATGATACCTGAAACCATAAAAAAAAAAAAAAAAAAAAAAAAAAAAAAAAAAAAAAACTGTAAGAATGAAGCTTAGCGAGTTACCCAGTGTATACCACACATACACATAATCCACATATCACATATCCTGTTAGCTATAAAAGCAACCAGTAACACATAATATATGCATACAAAAACCTGCAAGAATGTCATGGGCTACCCCACATGGTCTTTACTTAGGACTACCAAGGGCTACCCTAAATTGTCTTACATCCAATGCCATGGGATACCCCACATGGTCTCTAACTAGGACTGTCAAGGGCTACACCACATGGTCTTACATCCAATATCATGGGCTACCCCATATGGTCTTTACCTAGAACTGTCATAGGCTACCCCACATGGTCTTACATCTAATGCTACGAGCTCCCCACGAGGTCATCCATGCAAGTATCACAAAGACAACTAGCATAACACATATCATATAATCACTAGCATACCACTTAGCATAATGAAAACTACCATACCACATATCAATAATACAGCTAGTGTACCACATAACATGAAATGAGTCGGCTTGGTACCTTAGACCCATTGGTATGGTGAGAAGACTCACCTCTAATTGCAGAAGCTTCCAACACGAATTCCTTTGTTGCCGCCTCTCCAACTTCCCGAGCTGCCACTACCAAACAATATACCCAATCAACAATTGGGTCCCATTCCATAATCCTTAATCCATGCATGGGGTAAAATGACCACTCTACCCCTAGCCCAGTATGATCCAAACTTGGGGCCAAACCCAAAACAAAAGCCCAACACTAGGTAGGCTTTCCAAACCCAATAATGGCCTAATTTTCCAAATTAGGCCCAACTCCTCTAATGGGCCTTACTTTAAGCCCAAACATAATCCTGGCCCAAAACACTCCAAGCCCCTAGTTGATGAGTAAGTAGGGCTTACTCCCTTGTACGCTAAGCGTACTGGCTGAATGTGGTGTACAATGCACATACCTGCATGTATGCCCAACGTACTCCTTTGTTAAGCCACTTTTCCATTAAGTGCTTAATACTCTACTCCAAGAGCTACAATTACAAATCCAAGTCCTCTTGAACGTATAAAACCATAAAGTTGCTTATTTGATGGCTTTGCATGACCGACATAAGCTCAAACTCCAAAAATGACAATCTTTTTCCGCTAAAATTGGCTTAACTCATGCATGAACCCATTAAAACCTCCAAGATGGCAGCTTTTTGCCTTAGGGACTCATTTAACACTGAGAGTGGTAACTCTACCTAAGTCTTAGAAATCAAATTGACCCTCAAAGCTTCCACCTTTGGACGAAAATGGTCCAAAAACTCACACTAAGAGATCTAAGAAGATACATGATCAAGATCCAAGCTTTATACCTTCATCAAGCTGAGAATGAGTCACAAATGGCAGATCCATAAGCTCATCCTTGATTCCTATCTTTGCAACAAGTTCAATCTTCCTGATGTAACATCTAGAGTTTCGGGTATGATTTAATTGTATTTATTTATTCAAGGAAAAGGAGGGACTCGACGAGTAGGTAAGGAAGTTTTTGTGAATCTTCGTGACCAAACTCGACGAGTCAGGCTTATGACTCGCCGAGTCTACACTGGCAATTTAAACCCTAAATCCCGGGTTTTGGAGCCTATTTAAGGGCACTCATAGCTTCCCATTGCGGCTATCATTCCCTTGAGAGAAACCCTAAGTGAGCTAAATCATTTGTGAGAAGGAGAGGCCATATTTGATTTTCTATCATTGGTTTAGCAAGAAGAAGGTGATCAAGATCAAGAGGAGGCTGAAGGAGGTGCTATTTGGAGGAATTCTGAGCTCAGGAGTGCTTATTGAGGTATAATCTCGATCCATCTTTTGTTTTGGTGATTCTTTATAGAGTTAGGGTTTTCTAGACCCTTTGGTAGATGCTTTTGATTGAGTATATGGTTCCTTTTCGTATTATTGTCTTGGATCTGGATCCATAGAGGTCCAGAGACCTTACTCCTTTGAGCTTTATGTGGATTGATGGTGACTATGAACTTAGGATGTCATATTAGAGGTCATTTCTTCAAATAGAACCTTGGAGCCTTTGAATGGGCATCAAGCTTCGAGCTTTACGTGATTATTGGGACTAGAAAGGATAGATCTATTGAGTAGAGCATCAGATCTGACCTCAGGAAGCCATTGGAATTGAGCATGGTTTGGACGTGTCGAGTCCATGAACAGACTCGACGAGTCGAATCAAGTTGTCCCGAGACTGTAAATCTAGAGAGTAACCCGCCGAGTAAAGTGAGTGACTCGGTGAGTCAAAAGAGAATCAGAGGAGTAGAGTTCACATGTAGACTCGTCGAGTCGCCCAAGTGCACTCGATGAGTCAGGTCAAAGTTTGACCGTTGACTTTATTGACTTTTAGGGATTGGTCAACAATGGGGTCTTTGTGTCAAGAGAGGGGTAAAATGGTCTTTTACCCATCTGAGGATGCTAAGAGAGGGTTGGGTCTAGTCTCAAGAGTTATATTTATGAGCGTATCTTACTTTATGTGATTAGGCAGAAGCTAGACTATACTGCTACCGAGTTAGGGATTTACCGAGACATGTGAGGTGAGTTTTCTCACTATACTTTACCTTGAGTGGTAATTAGAGTTATGTGACAGAGTTATTGTATGCTATTTATGTGATGTGTTGCATTTCATTATTTCTATTTGATTTATGCCATGTGTATATCAGAGTATATCAGAGTTAGAACCAGAAGGTTCAGAGAGCTAGGACCAGAGGGTCCACAGAGTTAGGGCCCAAGGGCCCACAGAGTTATAGCCTCGAGTGGCTAGTATGTGTTATGTGTGGTATTTTTGGGGAACTCACTAAGCTTTATGCTTACAGTGTTATGTGTTATGTGTTTCAGGTACCAATGATGATCGTGGGAAGGTGCCGGCATGATCTGTACACACATCCGCGGAGTTTATTATGATTTGATCTTGGGAAATGTTTTGTGAACAATGATATGATACATTGAGATTTTCTTAATCAGTGTGTTTGGAAATGTGTTTTAAAATGCGAAAATTGTCTTAAATTTTACGATGTTACACTTAAGATGCACCAAAAACCACCCAAAATGCATCCACAAAGCTCACAACACTCTTGGATGAAGCTACCACTCGAAATTAGGGTTTTAGGCACCGAGAATGAAAGGGAGGCGCACCCCCTCGGACTTAGGATGCTTTAAATAGTGAGTCAACTCAAAAAATTAGGGTTTAGGGACTCTGAGCGTACGATGGACGTACTTCTCGTACGCTGGGCGTACGCCTCCAACACCCGCGACTCGTCATCCCCTCTACGATTGGCGTACTCTTGTGCTATCCACCTTCCTTGTCACTTTTCTCCACTAAGGACAAATAATGCCAATACCCCCAAGGTACTATAACTTCCTCATTCTAAGTCCATTTCCTACGAACTTCATATCCACACAAAAGTGGTGAGAAGCCCTACGCTCCCAACTCCACACCGAAGCTCTACAATATTCCGCATAAAACTCGAGACCCATAAAAGACCAAATCGTCAGATTACACTTATACCCTTGGCCTCCAAAGACATAATCGAACACTTTCAAAACCGGGCGTTACACAAGGTAGTTTCCTCAGCTCTATTTCCCGATTTCAGATCCAATATAAACGTAACTCATGACCTTCTGTTCCTACTGCAGGGAGATGTTAGCCGACATATGTTTATATATATTCCATTTGTATTATTTATAAGTTATCCCATGTATGTATTCTATGTGTATTTATTCGATTGTACAAGGAAAATGTGAATATTGGGAAGATACCCTTGGAGTAACTAGACCTTAGCTTTTGATTGGGTCAAAAGTAAACGCATGAGGAAATCTATATGACCCTAGTTCTGTAGTAATATGACGACGTCATGTTCGTTGTAAGTAAAAATATATGAGTGCTCTTGCATTCCCGACACTAAAAGAAATAAAGCCTATGCAAACGACATCTATGCAGAGGATATTTGTCACCAGTACTGTATCCGACGACATGTTGTCGGTATAGAGTCGACTAAAAGTTTTTGACATGTGAATATTTAGAATTTATAGAATATACAGCGACATTAAGTCGTCGGTATACCTTACACGGTATACCTTAGGCAAGAAAAAAAGTATTTATGCGGTTTCCTCAACACTTTTGCAGACGATAAGTCGTCTGTATAGCTTACACAAAATATAGTTTTTATTTATTTATATTTAGTTTTGAAGAAAATAGAAACGACGTCGGTTTTTGTGGGCTATCCCAACGATGAGTCATCGATATAGAAAGATAGCGATCAGTGTGATACTCCGTGACGACGAGGTAAATATATTTCTTATTTATTTTATTTTTAATTTACGAAAAGAGTAAGCGACGTCGTTTGACTTAACTCTATACCGACGATATGTTGTCGGTATACGGTTTCTACCCATCTGCTTCGTTCGACCCCTCTCAGTTGCAACGCCGCACCAAAAACTTGTTCTCTTTCTCACGATCGGTGGTTGTCCGTCTAAAGTACCTCTGCCACTCGTCTTCACCACCGACGACACAGGTATGCCGTAATTCACTCATTCTTCTCTGATTTCCCACTTTTTCCGGTTCGATTTTATGATTTTAGGTTTTTGTTGTTTTTGTTTTTTGTTTGTGTCTCCATAGGGTTGTCATCAGAGGTTTGACCACCTGCGACGACGGCTATTACCACGTCCGACGACCAGAGTATCCTTGTTCCACGTAAGGATTTTTTATTTTCAGTTTTTTCTGCTAATACAGTTATTTTTCACTGAACACCAGCCACCACGTTGACTTCCCCCTTCCGACGACTACTGACTTACTACTTTCGACCATCACACCACCCACCACCACAGAAAAGGTAATATTTTTATTAGATATTGTTGTATGAAAATGTAAATTTTGATATATGTTTGATTCATGTTTATAATTCTATGAAAATGCCTACGACACCTATTGCGACTTCCGGCCACCACACCACCCTGTCCCGATGACATGTCGCCAGTAAAGGTGACCTGTAACGGTAGGTCGTCGGAATAGGTTTATAATAACACTTTTTTTTCCATCGAAAATCATTCCTGAGACCTTTTGAAGATAACATATCGTATGCAATGGTGGCTCTCTACCGACGATATCTATCCCGACGACATTTTCCACTTTTACCGACGGTGTTACACCGACGACACGTCGTCGGTATAGGCTTTTACGATGACATGTCATCGGCATAGTTGTTGACAGTGCCGTCGTTTTAGGTCTCCTTGTCGTGAGAATATGTGAGGTGAGACTTTGGGAGAAGTTACATAAACATGTGTTGCCTTATATGATACTAGTGATGACTTTGATGGTGACGTTGCTTTCTTATCCGTTCCATGTTCATATCGTTCTCTTTTTTATAATTCAAACTGTTGTCACTAAAAAAACATAGAATGTCACGTATCATGTGAAATACATAATATATAAATCAGACATTAAAATATGGTATATTAACATCTTAAAAACCACTATGGAATATTGTATATTAATTATATAAATTTTTTCCACGCACTTTTTGGGTATATATTTTATTAAAGTGTTATTGATACATATAATATATTTTAGAGATTCTTATCCTTGTATCTTGGGATCATGATTCTCTGGTTACTTTATAACAGCATGATTGTCATTTGACAAAAAAAATTGTGAAAAACAAAAACGTGGCTTCTCAATTTTGGTGAACTTTTGTTGTTTTTCTCCTCCTATTTGCTATATATTAAATAAAATTAGACGTACTTTCTTGCTGTTAAAAGATAAATGTATTTGTTCTACCCTTGTGGTGATCTAATTTTTACCGTTGCCCTTGTGCGGGAGATATGGAAACACAGGAATGATGGTGTGACAAACATCAATTACAAAGCATTTAGCTAGCAACAACCCGGGGATTGAATGTTGTAATGTACATTTTGCTGTTCAAAATACAATCATTTGAATTGTTTCCTTTTTTCTTATCATATGATAATTTATGTTTCCATTGCATAATTGTTAAACATGATAATAAGAAATAAAATTAGAGAAACAATTCAGAAAGTGCAATTAAGCTTTGCAATACTATTGAGAAAAATATAGATATGTATTACAGTATACGGTTATAATTAGATGGCATACACATACAAGTAAAAAAAAAAACTAGATAAACTGACAGCATAGGCATAAACATTACATGTTAAATTTATGTAATGAAAACTAATATACAACTTTGATATAAATAGATTAAAGAATTACTGGTATATAATTAGATTTTAATTTGGATTTAATGAAGCTATTGTTTCCTTAATCTTAAAAATAAATAAATAAATAAATAAAAGAAGTTGGAGCTAAGATCCGTGAAGTTTTTGTACAGTTATGATGAAGCAGTATTTTACTTATATTCCTACAGATCATCATTTATAGAACACATCACCCTCCATTGGCACCTATAAAAACCCACAATACCCTCACTCTAAGCACTCAACACTCACCATCATATTCTCCCTTGGACAATCAATTAGATATGACAGCAAAATGCAGTGTTTTATTAGTTCTTTTTCTTGCTAACAACCATCTATTGTCTACCATAGTTAATGGTTGTGAAACTACCCCCACCTCAAAAAGTAACGTAAACCCAAATCCATACACCAATATGAACCCTTACTATAATCCTAACCCTAACCACGATTCCAACCCTAGTTCCACCTCCGATTCCAATCACAATTCCTCTCCCTATTCTAACCCTACTCCCAACCTCTCCAATGCAAACCCAAACCAAAACCCATCGACAAACATTAACTCACCATGGGCAACATGCCCTAGAGACGCCTTGAAACTAGGAGTGTGTGCCAATCTTCTTGGGGGGTTGGTTAGTGTTGAGGTGGGTTCGCCACCAGTAAAGCCTTGCTGCTCTCTTATCCAAGGACTTATCGACCTTGAGGCTGCTCTCTGCCTTTGCACTGCCATCAAAGCCAACGTGTTGGGTATCAATCTCGATGTACCACTGTCTCTCAGCTTGATACTTAATGCTTGTGGCAACCATGTCCCAAATGGCTTCAAGTGTGCCTGACTCAAGCTATATGATTTGATCATTACATCTGGTTTTACATTGTACGAGATTGTGTTTGAGAATTATGCTGGTGACAAGTCAGTCCTTTCACCTTTTCATATATAAAAGTTACTTTTGTTCTTATTTCTAGGAAGTAAATGATCCTTCGACTTAATTCACGTAATAAGTTTTTACAACATTTTCTCCTATCCTTGTATTCATTAGTAACTATAGTGTTTTTTCATTGAACATGTAAAAGTTATATAATTATAATGTAACCCTTTTATTGTAAATGTTATTAATAATAGTAAAAGTTATATAATTATAATGTAACCCTTTTATTGTAAATGTTATTAACAATAGAGTTTTAAGGAACAATTTTTTTTTTTGGAACACCAAGACTTTTAACTAAATAAAAGCTAGCGAGAAGTGGAATTAATACATTCCAATATATGTTTGTTATTTTTCAACCAATTTAAAACTGTAATCTTTCTTTATCTCACCAAAACTCTGTTGCTCATGTTTTGGACAACGGATTAGTTGGTTAGTATGTTAGTATACTCCTTGTTAGAATCTCCTTGCTTTAGAACCTGGGTCTTCTACTCCAAAATGTATTTTGATTAGTATGTTAGTATACTCCATAGTTGCTATGGTTCAAACATGAGGCTTCTACTCCGTGAGGTATTACCCACCACCAACCAAAATACCCACTACAAGGAAAAAGGCAACTAGGGGCAACAAAAGTCGCCACTAGAAGATCTCGTTGTCATTGGTAATGATAATAGCGGCGACATGTCGCCGATAATAAGTCGCCGCTACTGCTCCGTCCTTATTGATCAATTTGTCGCCGCTAAAGGGTAAAGTCGCCGCTAATTCTTTTGTCGCCACTAAAGAGTATACTCGCCAGTAATGATAGTGTCGCCGATAATAACAGTTTTCATTTTTTATTTTTCTAATCAGCGATTTTGGTTACCAGTAATTACATAACAACATCCGATTAAATATCAAAAGTACTAGTATTGTCGGTAATTAATTACATAACATCTTATTAAATATCAAAAGTAATAGTGTCGATGATAATAGTGTCGCCGATAGTTACATCAAACAAGCAAAATTTTTACAATTCTAACAAGTAGCAAAGCGTGACAACAAATGTAATATATAAATAAAGATTCTCCTACATACTATCATCTTCGTTCTCATCGTTTCCTCGATTATTCTACGATTGAAAAAACAAATAAAACTCATCGCTACACATCGGGTCGTTGAGTATTGCTTGAAGATTTTCCAACTACATAATAAATAACAACATATATAAACTTATAAGTTAAATTTTTAAACATAAACCAAAACTATTAAAGTAAATTTCTATTTTTAAATTAAGACAAAAAGCCAAAGTACATTGCTATTTCTTGCACTTTGGTCAAAAACCCAATTACCAAAGTTTTTAGCAAATAATCACTACAAAACCAAAATTACCAAATCAACATGCATTTTATGATGGCAAATTAGATAGCTATTTTTAAATTAAGACAAAAATCTAAAGTACATTGTTATTTCTTGCACTTGGGACAAAAACCCAATTACCAAAGTTTTTAGCAAATAACCACCACAAAACTAAAATTACCAAATCAACTTGCATTTTATGATGCAAAAGTAGATTGTTATTTTTAAACTAAGACAAAAAACCAAAGTACATTGTTATTTCTTGCACTTGGGACAAAAACCCAATTACCAATGTTTTTAGCAAATAATAACCACAAAACAAAAATTACCAAATCAACATGCATTTTATGATGTTAAAGTAGATTGCTATATTTAAAGTAAGACAAAAAAAAAACCAATGTACATTGTTATTTCTTGCACTTGGGACAAAAACCTAATTATCAAAGCTTTTAGCAAATAATCACTACAAAACCAAATTTACCAAATCAACATGCATTTTATGATGCCAAAGTATATTGTTTATTTTTAAACTAAGACAAGAAACCAAAGTACATTGTTATTTCTTGCACTTGGGACAAATACCTAATTACCAAAGCTTTTAACAAATAGTCACCACAAAAAACCAAAGTAGATTGTCTTACTTGTAATGGTTGTGATGGTTCTGGTGATAGTTGCGATGGCTGTGAAATCAGCGGGAGAGTAGAAGGTTTACCGTCGATGCCTCTGATATGGCCACGTCGCTCTCTTGATACTTTCTTAAAAGCAGCTCTTTCTTGAATGGGTGTTAACCCACGTTCACCTTGGGTTTGTTCTAAGAGCTAATCGACTAACCGATTTTGTAATTCCCAAAAGTGAGTAACAATTAAGTATAAATGAACACTTAATTATATGATAAATTTATAATTAAATACTTACATATTGTTGTTCCGCCTCGGTAGTAACAAATATACCATCCCTATTGTTATGAGCCTTGCGAAACGTTTCCACTCACTTAACGTTCTGTTTAACATAACAAAAAATAGATTATATTTTAAATAAATAATTACATGTATCGTACGTTATCTTCTTATAGCAAGTACTGCTATACGAGCTTGACTCCCCACGATTCACGTTCATTTTCATTTCACAAACTTTTTTGTTCCTCACTAAAGCAATTTTGTTTTCGTCTGTTTGGAAATACTCGACTGCTTTTTTCCTGTTATCAGCATGCATACCCTCTGGAGGGTTGGATAATGCTCTCGCGATGTCATAATACCCTCCGGTTGCCATAAAATATTATTTTGCATCAGCTTTACGTTCTCGATAGCCTTTTAACAAAGTTGCTTGAAAACTCTCTATCAACATATTAACTTGTATATCCTGGTACATCTGATCCAGATCAAACTTTGTGTACAAAAAAAGAATTAACCAAGTAAAAACCAGTCGTAGTTAACCATGTAAAATATTTTTAAATAAATAATTACCCCTAAACGTTGTATTACGATGTCCTTTAGTGCATGGGAAACTTTTTTCCAAGTCCATTTATTAAAAGGGACCATATGCCACATTGTTTTTGCAATTTCTCGTTAAAACATGTCTTTCGGCTTTCCTACAGGATCAAATGTTATATCCCTATTATATTTCATGCTAATCGGTTTTCCCTAATTCTGTAAGAGCACTCTTTCAAGCTTTATATTTTTGGTTTTGCCTCAGACTTTCCTACGTTCACGTTGCTCAACTACAAATATAATTAAAAATTATTTGAAATGGTATTTATTTTATAATAACTGAATAAAAATAGTAAATAAAAATTCATAATAAGACTTACGGTCCTCCTCGTGATGACGAGCACCTCTACCACCTAAGAGAGGTGGGTCCTTAAATCCATCACCCTCGTGTTCATGGCCCATAACAGCAACCATGGTATACACAAACAAAAGCCATATTGACATCATTTCCTGAAAAATTATAAGATATACAAATAAAATTTTTATTACAAATACACATTACATAGAAATAAACATTTACATAGGAATACTCATTTCTATTTAAACTAGAAATCCAAATAAAGTTCATATTACAAACACGTATTACATAAGAACTATTCTAATCAGAATCTTCCTCATATCCTTCAGTGTCTTCTTCGGTATCATAATCAGATTCAGTCTCATCATAATAAGTCTCGCAATCAGAAATATCATTGACTCTACCAGTTGGCGGAGGAACTTCAATTACACTTTCTACATCAACAATGACTCTAGGAATGTTTTGAAAGTACATGATGAAATTGATAAAAAGTAGAGTATCGGATGAAGAGATATTTTGAAGTACATCGACATTGTCTACATTTTTGTGTGAGCTATTGTCAACATTTTGGACACGATCATCGTTCGATGGAAGATCCCAAATACTTCGACGATTAACATGCTCGACAATACACCAATGGTTATTGTTTGACTCTCTGATGTAGAACACTTGTTTGGCTTGTGAAGCATATATGAGTTGATCATCTTTGTATGATTCGCATCTTGTGTTGATACTGGTGAAATTATCACTAGAAATAACTCATGTTCGAGTATCAAACCATAACTCTATAATCTCTTCTAACTGGCCATAATATATCTTGCCTTTCTCGCCTACCGCAAAAACACCAGAGTTTTGTGTTGTATGTTTTGCAACACAACTAAGTAACATAAACCTAACACTGTTGACTATGTATGCGGTGTAAGAATAAGAATTCATTTGCGGACCCATTGCAAGAGCCGAAAAGTCTTTGTGGAATTGTGGAGATTTTTCTATTTTCATTTGATGAACCTAGAAAATATAAAGTAATATGTATTATGCATTCTATAGATCCTTTTCACGAAACCAATTATGAAATTCTCGCTTTTTATCACTTTGCGGATGTTCAAAATTTGAATTTCCTATGTTGATGACCAAAAGATATAGATTTAAAAAGATAAAAAAAATTAAGCATGAAAGTCAGAGATAAGAATAGTTACTTGATATACTGTGTGACTTCTTCATAGCTATTCCATACAAAGCATTCCATGTTACGCATTTCCATTAAATCAAGAGTTTTGATTTGAGTTGTGCTGGTCAGTTAACATTCAGACTCAAACATCCAAAACTGTTTTTTTCAATGACAACATCTTCATTTCTTTCCGGACGATTGAATTGATTCTTTACATCTTGAAGTTACATCGAACAAAATGATAAAGCTTCTTCACCAACATAACCCTCAACTATAGAACCTTCCGGCCTTGCCTTATTTCTTACATAATTTTTTAGTTTTTTCATATACCTTTTGAAGGGATACATCCATTTTATACATACCAGGCCTCCAAAAATCGCTTCATCAGCTAAATGAAAAAGTAAATGAACCATAATGTCAAAAAACGTTGGAGGATAAATCAATTCTAACTTTCACTAGATTGCAATAATGTCTACTTTTTCTTTCCTTACATCCTCCACCTTCAATGTTTTGGAACAAAGTTGATTGAAAAACATACAAAGGTCTACAATAAGTGTATAAGTGTCTTTGTCTAACAACCCTTTTACTCCAATCGGTATCAAATGTTGCATAAGAATGTGAT